AAACAGCCAAGAATTGATCGTTCAATCTTCGTCTCCATTGAAAATCACCTTGACACAATTTCGAATTTGACTACTGCTATAATACACATTCGTACTCTTCGCAAGTGCCTTTTGATTCACGTTGTGCGCGTCGATTAGCCACAACGTCTGCGCACATTAATAAGAAAGAAGAAATACTAGAATATACGTGTACGGCAGTTTAGTCAAATAACGCACACAACATGCTAACCTATGGATGAGGTTCTTAAACGGTAAGTCGAATTGACGACTTAACACCAGTTTATTGAGAGTTATTTGTTCCTGTAAGTTCTATCAGGACTATTCAATGCATGCCTGACATCTGTGCTCTGCAGGTAGGCTTAGGAATTATTTATTGCTTCTTCTTGTTTCATCTGCAGAGCTAACACATGAGGACTCCTAAGTGTTTAAAACGTCTGGATTAGACTTCATGAAAATATACTGTGTTTTTTCTCAGTTTATGTACTATTCAACTTTTGGTTCTTTGGGGGACCGATTACAGATTCAGATTTGTTGACTGAGGACAGAAGGCTTGAAGCCCATATAAATGCTTTTGTAGTAAATATCTGTGGTTGTCCAAACCCATCTTGAATGAATCAATTGAGGTCGCAGACACCAGTCCTCCTGGGAGTTGGTTCCAGCAGCTTGTGATTCGGTGTCAGAACCAGCACTCCACAGCAATATGGTTTGTGCTTGGACTTTGAACTCTCCTGCTATTTCCTCTAAGCTTGTGGAGTACATAACAGTATGATTGTGCACTTTTTGTTAGTTGTTTAAATCAGAGACATTGTACATGATTTTTGTTCAAAGCGATTCATGTTTAGATACATATAACTTCCGAGTACAATTCGAAATACAATATACTGTTGGTAGCTTCGCCTTCTCTCTGGCCATTACGGCTTACTTACTCCACTCACACCGTGTTGTATACTTTGGATTTACTGTAGGAGTCTATTATCCTAATCCGAAGACAACTCTACAACCGGAACACAGCATCTACCAGCAGACGTGATTTCAACAGTCAACGCTGCCGCGGATTATATAAATAATTTGTAGCAGTGGACTTTAACATTGTATCCAAGTAACGTTTTAATTAATATAACTCATTACTGCATTTTTGATAATATATTGTTGCACTATCATCTCATTGACTTGGATTTGTATTCGCATATTTGTAATTTTAATGAACGCTTTAGGCAATCCCGTAAACGATGTTTCGACCTAGTGGGTATGTAGAGAGAGTATATATCATTTCTTTGGCCATTATTTAAAATTTTATACATTGTAATCAAATCTCCTCTCTGCCGACGGTTTGATAGATTTATTATATTTAAACTGTTTAGTCTCTCCTTGTATGATGATTTAGTCATTGCGAGAATGATGCATATCGCCTTCCTTTGAACCATTTCTGTGATATGTTAATTACTTTTAAGACAAGGATTGCCTGCCTGAAAAGAATTTTTCGATCTCTGCCTCACCGGAGATGTTTATTAGGAGATGAACATAACTCTGGGCTCTGGGAATAGCCCATAAATATATGAAACTAGGTGCAGCCATTGTTTTTAATTCATGACTTACTGCAACATCTAAATCCAAATGAGTCTGAACTGATGGCAGCGTTATTTCCTCTAGTTCGTAGGGGCCGATGCTTGCGCGTCCAGTGCGCATGGCAGCACATTTGACTACATTGATTGAGAGCATCCATTATCTGGACCACTTTAACATTTTATTTATGTCTTCTCGCAATGTTGGCGTAACACTGTCACTACTCAGCTGTCTCCAGGCTTATAAGTCATCTGCGTAAATGACTACGGGAGAATCGGTGGGCAGAGACAATTTATTATTATACAGAATAAATAGAAAAGGTGCGGTACTTCGCATCGTGGCACTCTGCTTTGCGCCGTTGTCCTGGTGGAGAATTTGAGTCGATCTCTACCCTCCGCCTGCTATCTACGAGGAATTCCTTAATCCATTCTAGTAAAGATGCTTTGACACCAGGACTTTCCAGCTTCGTGGAAAGTCTTTTGTGAAGAACTTTGTCGAAGGCTTTGCTGAAGTCTGTGGAGAAGGCGTCAATGGGTCTGTTGTCCCTTAACGTGGTTCAAATTCCTCTTGCAGTAAGAAGATTCGACATGCATAAGGGCTTACTTCGGAAGCCATGATGTGCTCTGGGTAACAAGTTATCGTTTTCCACGTATGGCGTGATACTTTTCTTGATGATTATGTCCAGTGTCTTGATTATAGTGCTGGTGAAAATAATAAGACTGTAGTTTGAGAAGTTTTGTCTTGATCCTCCTCTGCGGATAGCATCTTTCCAGTCAAGCGGTGACACTTCATTTGGGGTAGATAGTTTGAAGATTGGGGTTAGTTGCCCGTTATGTTTGCTGATAGCCCCTTGAGAAGCCTTGGACGGAGATCATCAGGACCCATTGATTTCTCTTCATCTTGTTTCTTTAAGCAGTAGGGCGCGATTTATCGGTCAGTCTCAACGGAGTCTATCCTCTTATGCAGCAAGAGCTGATCCTATAGGGAGCGACGGCTCCTGTGAAAAGGCCATTGCTTCTGCTTTTTCATGATCTTCCACGATTGTGTCACTGTCAGCAGTCGGGTTTGGACCCCGTTGGATGTTTTATTCCCAAAGATCATCTACGAGGAAGGCTCTTAGGTTGTGCCTTTGCATTTTGAGCCAAATGTTCTCCGAACTTCATTCTCTATTGGCTGATTTCTGAGATAGCTTTGTTCCTAGTGATGTTAGATAATTTTCTGGCATCAGGAGTTCCAAGTGTGGAAAACGGATTCCATCATTTAAGTTTACGCCTGAGTAATATATGAAACTCTCGGTTTATCCAAGGAGAGCAATGTTACCGACTATTCGGGTGTTATGTACTGGTCGAGAATTTAATAGTCCTGACGCAAGAAAGACGGAAATCAGAAGACCACTAGGTTTGCGATGATACTTCTATTTTCCAAACACAAGGAGAATCAATGTCACACAAGAGTGTGAGAGCAAAAATATATGAATGTCCGAACAAGCGTGTGAACACAGGTGTGTGAGCGAATATTCAAAATGAACAAATCAATAGACAGTCTTAACATGATTGGCTAATTATAATGGAATATCGATCCATATATACATAGCAAAATATAACAGACTGTCAAACAAACACACATATAATATGGATATATATCGTCGGGACAGACCGAGTGAAGAAAAGTTCATTTATCTGTGCGTTGAATTTTTTAAATTGGTTCCTTTAAGCTTCCACTTGGGACTCTGGTTTGATGTACTTATTTATCGAGTTGGCTGCTGGGACGATCGCATAGATATCATCTTTCGAAAGTTTGGTCGAGCAGGGGTTTTGGCTTATGATTCTGCTACTCTGGACTTGAAAGTAAGTTCAGCGTTATTACTTCTTCCTAAAGGAGGAAGATGTTGCCCGAGTTCCACATCCTCAACATGAGAAAACACTGGCTGCAGAGTCAAATAAGAGTGCTCTGAGTCACAGTACATGGCCCTCATGACATGTTCAAGTAAGGCCAGTAAAATGCTAGATTCCAGACGTTTATGATCAAAGGAGTTGTCTGAAGATGGCGTTGTAAGAATCGTCCAGTCAACCGTTGGGTCATTGAAGTTGCTGGTTACTAGACTTCGAATTCAGAACCATAGCTTCTCTATTAGGAAAAAGTCTGCACTCCAGTCAGGACTGCGGTATATAGCAATGATGTCAATATCCTTGCCTGTGCATTTAGATCTGAAGTGTTGAAGTTCGCACTATTCACTTTCGTGTGCCAGAGCTTCGGTGCTAAGCATGGCTAAGCATCTCCTGAAGTAGATGAATACGCCACCTACTTTTCGTCTTAGTCGGTCCCTCCTTATGCAGTACGAAGCTTGAAAGGTCAACTTCATTAACGGTTAAATTGGATGTGAGCCATGTCTCTGTGATGAAAGCTACATCCAGATTTCCAGAGTCTATCATATTACCTAACTTATTACGTGTGTTCAGCAGGCTGTGGGCATTTGTGCAGCAAACTGTCTCCCCAGTCTGGTGCTTCCACGGCCTACAGATTGTGGTTTCGAGATCATCAAACTTTGAACGACGACAAACGGAAAATCTTTTATTTTAGGGTATTTCCCTCCATTTCGGCACCATTCGCACAATTCTAGAGCCGTAGAAAATCTTTTAATGCTGTGTTTTAAACACAAGTCGGCACGGGCGTATATACTTGATCTTTTAAAAGGTTAGGAGTTACTTAGCATTGCAACCCTCTCAGTTTTTAGTTCAGTACTACTTTGAGAAGACTGATTTATTGTAGGGTCAGCCTTTTGACTGTGCGTCGTGACACAGGCTACTTGTGTTGGCAGCAGTTCACCTAACAGGGGCTTGATTAAGTGAAGATTATGTTCGAACCTGACTTTGAGTCTGGAAGGCTATGGTTCTTCCACCTCATGGAGAATGAGGGATCTGTCGGAGAGATCAGATCTGCTTGCCATGGATTTCTTGCTCTGTGGCGTGTGCGTCTTCCTGTCTTTCGTGGAGATTGTGGCCTTTATGTTGTCCTCATCTCGCCTTTTCTCGGAAACCACTTTACGTCATTCGTTGGCGCCCTCTTTGCTATCTGTGGTCGGTTGTGTCTGCTTGCTATCCACTGGTGTGGGTGAGGCTTGATCTACAAGTCTTTGTGTGACTTCAGCTGCGGGTTTTCGACTCATAGTACGTCTCTTTTCTCGTGTCAGCTTTCGTTACTGGCGCTGAAATGCTTTTCTGGCACAGAAGGGGCAGCCTGAGTATCCAGATAATGGCGAACGCTCTTCTTTGGTGAAGGGAAATCATATCTTTTAAAAGCTTGGTAGTCTCAACCTAATAGAATGAGTTAAATGTTCCATTTTTCATTCAAAATTTTGAAAAGTTTGGACTTTCTATGGGTAGAGACATTCTGATTCTTGGACAAGTTTGTATTGAATTAGGTGGCAAATTGAAATTCTTGGAGGTCGAACAATCGCGCTTGTTTTGAGCCCGTACGTTTTCTTCGGATAGAGGCTACATTCGGTTTCTAGGTCATGATGAGTTCCTGTGTCGGCTAGTTATAGGTTTTCTTGAATTCGTTTTCCATTGAATTTTAAAGGTTTTTCTGGATGTTTTGCTCATTTTGCAGTGTGTAGGTCAGTTTTTGTCACTGGATGCTACTATTTAGCTTATTTTTAGCCTAAAGTTCCCAGTTATTATGTTGGTAGTCAAGGATTATGGTAAACCTTTAATCATTGAGCTAATTAACGTATACTATGCTATTATAGTAACATAGACTATGCTAATAATAGTAACATTAAACTCCCTTGCTGTTTTGCCATTGTTTGACAGTGAAACTGTGCGCTGATTTTTCAGCATGAGTGGCACTAAATCGAACCTTCTGGGTTTGCTTAGCAACGTTGTTCCAGCCCTCACAGGACATATTAAGCATGGACTAGCGTTACTCCTTAGCGGAAAGTTTTGATTCAGCACGCAGCTATCTTTTTAAGCACGACCTATGTCATTTCAGAACATAGTGGGTAAATATGTCCTTCAGTTACCATTAAAAGGCATTATCAAGGAATAAGTTAGAATAAATTTAGAATTGTTTTAAGCTTGGTGGTGCTGCGGTCTAAGTGATAAATCGTATTAATCACCGTTATTCAGGATATGCTATGAACCGGAAATCCTCAGCTGAAAAACGTATGAATAAGACACAGATCGGTGTAATTTATAACTGACTCCAAATTGCTTTCATCACGAAACAATCAACCAAAGTATGCTTTGAACTGTCGCTCTCAGCCGTTTGAAGGGAAATTTACTTGATTTATGCTGACCTAGTATGCACAAATCCCACAGGTCATTGAATTGACAACTTAAAAAAGTAGATTAGTTAATACATACATTTATCTATATGTAATAATTAAGGATACATTAAATCTTTAGAAATTGTAGTTAAATTTTATTCGCCTAGTAATCAAAAATGCATACATCCTATTTTGGACTTAAAATAGATGCATCGGAATTATTGTTGATTTATATTCACTTACTAGACATTCTCATACATCTTAATGTACTTTAAACACCACCAATGCATCCAAATAGCGTGTGACTATGACATTACACTCATACCAAAAAAATTAACACGGTATTATATTATGGTAAGGTAAGCCCTAAATCATACTGACTGTAAATTTCCGTGTCAAAATAAAAAGATTACCGCTTTAACTTATATTTTAGACCAATAAGAAGCCAGCTAGCTGACAGCCAATCCAAATCTGCCTATATCTATTTTCTTTTCTTAGTAATTACAGAATACATTCGTTGTATAGCGCAGCTTAATTGCAGGAGTTTCCCATGTGTTGCGTTCATACTTCTGTCTTCGTCTGCCATGCTCTTTATGGGTAATATCATTTAATAGTAAATTCATTTACTATTAAATGATATTATGAGTTCCATGGAACTCATTGCTGGCACTGGAAATATTTTTAGAGGTTTCAATGTTGATTATTCTAAAAGGCCAAATTTGAGAGCAGTCATAATTACTGAGTACGTTCCCTGCAGACACCACTTCCACACATCCCAGCTAGCATTTTTTTCGGGCGCATTGCAGACTTTTTGGGGCAGACTTCGGGACAGTGTCCCACGTAAATAGATTTACCCGAAGCTTTTTGTCCCAAAAAGTCCGGAGAAAATGCTAGCTGGGATGTTTATAAATGAAGGAAAAAGTTGTGTAAGTTGATATGATTATGAGCAATAATTTGTGCTCGAAAGGTCATCACTTAATATTACTGTGTTACAATGTGTGACTTATCAGAATAAAATCTTATGCATAATGGAGTTATACTCTACTGCAGTTCCCAAGTTTTATACTTATATGGCACTGAATCTAAGATGTCGGTTATCATGAATTTATGGCGGTTAATGTAGCTGAATAAACTGGCGTGGATGTGGAAGGTATGTGGGGGATATGTACATAATCCATCGGGTCCGACATCGCACAAAGTCGTTTCATTCTATGGTCCTTGCTTCATCACGAAAAAATATTTCCGCATTCCCTGACATTAGATCTGCATAATTGTAGACTTGGGAATACAAAAGAGGAAGTTCGTCAGAAATTATAAATCAGCGCAATATCGAGAGCAAGCACATGAGATGGGAAGTATTTCAATTAATTACTTCCATATCTGAATTTTGCCAAGTTCTTGCGATAACTTTTAATTTGACATGGGTGTAACGCTTTTAAGACTAGAAGCACGACTTCGAGGACGTATGATTATAATTGTTGTGATTATGAACAGTACATTTTGTAAATAATACTGCTTCAATGTGTGATATATCTAATAAACAAATATGGAATTACTTACTACCACAGTGCCCAAGTTTTACACTTATAGAATTTCAGATACCTGACACTGATTCAGATTCAGATGATAAGGATATAAGGCTCTTGTGGCCTGTGTTAATCCTTGCAAAATATATCTCTGCAGAGATCTAACTTCTCTTTGAAAGCGTTCACCGATGGAGCTGATACTACTGAATCAGGTAAGGATTTCCAGTCGTTGACCACTCTGTCAGAGAATCTAAATTCTGCACGTATTTTAGTCGTCCTCGGTTTGAGCACCTTTTGCGGTGACCCCGTAAATGTATCCTAGAAGGGGAGAAAAGGTTAGAAAGGTCAGTTCCTAAATCACCCTTAAGTATACGATATGCTAAAATTAAGTCGCCTCTTTTCCTTCTGTATGATAACTTGAACAGATTTAAATGCTCCATCCTTATCACTAACTAATTTTGTTCCTACTCTCTGTACTCTTTCCAGGATATGTGCCTCCTTTTTGAAGCATGGACTCGCCGCTTGTATGCAGTGTTCTAGGTGAGGCCTGACATGTTGCGAAGAGTATTTGGAATATGCCCTCGTCTAATCGTTTGAAAGCCCTTCGAATTGCCCATAGCACTCGAAAAGCTTTAGCTGCGGCTGCATTGAACTCTGCAGTTGTTTTCAAATCACTGTTGACAATGATTCCTAGGTCCTTCTGTTCGTTAACATCAGGTAGTTCTGCGTCCCCTAGGGAGTACGACGTATAAGACTTCTGACCTAAGTGTATTACCGCGCTTTTCCTAGTATTCATTTCCAAACTCCATAGGCTTGACCACACAGCTAATTTATCTAAATCAGTTTGTAGGGCCGACCTATCCTCGTTATTATTTACAGTTTTCCATATCTTAATGTCGTCTGCCATGTTGATGCATATTAAATTTATGAAATCAACTTTTATCTCCTTCATGCTTCGTTATCCTCCAGTATACTATGCTTAGAAATTGGCAATTAAACGCTATCATTAAAAACAGTGCATCCCATGATTATGAATTCTCATGATAAATGAAAAGTGCATCTTAAACAACTTATGATTATCACGCTAACTTTCAAAATACTTTTGTCGGCGTTTTTATCTGATACAAATAGGTGTAGAAGTATTTGCTGTACTTTATTCCCTTTAGGACTCAAGGTTCAGACGGTAAATGGTGGATTATAATCTTGGGTAACTGGGTAACATCGGATGTTAGACTATAAGCCTGGTGTACAGCCTAAAACATAAAAATATCTGTTCCAAGTAGTTGATTTCTAACGAATCTCTGAAACTGTAATTGACACGTTACGTTAGACTATCTGGCTACTCGTCTTGATTGATCTGTAGTTAATAGTGTGCACAATTCTGTGTTCATACATTGCAGATTTCGATTGTGGTGTTGCTTCTATTTTTAGAACACTCAAGTACCTTTCCAGTAAATTCCTACCATCAAAGTAAATATTTTTGGAAAATTATGGTCAGTTTACGAGCTTTCGTCGTCGGCTGCACTGGGGAGACAGGCAAGGCATTGATAAAAGCACTGGCCAAAGATTCTAGATACAGCTCTGTCAAACTAATACAAAGACGCGAAACTGAGGTTGATTATGGATCTGAGGCTACAGAAATTGAAAATCGTTTCACTCAGATTGTTATAGATTTTGACCGTCTGGATGACTACAAGGAAGTGTTTCAAGGTACTGACATTGGATTCTGTGCACTTGGAACAACATTAAAAAAATCAGGAAAAGAGAAGATGAAAGTAATTGATCATGACTATGTGATACGTATTGCCGAATTAAGCTCCGCTGCTGGTTGTAAAGAATTTCATCTTGTCAGTTCTAAAGTAAGTCATAAAAGCTTTTAAATTCTATGATAACTTTCAGTGAGTTTTTGAAACACCTACACCTAAGACGGTGTAAGACAAGCTGACTGCCTACTATCTCCAATGATTTTCCTGATTGTGGTAGACTGGATAATGCGATAGACAAAGGGGAGCGAAGAAACAGGTATAAAAAAGGACCCATTCAAAAACTTGGAGGATCTGGATCTGATATCTACCAAACTGGAAGATGTGCCAGTGAAAAGCAACAAGCTAGCAGAAGAAGCATCAAAGATATGATTTCAGGTGAACAGAAAGAGAAAACAGGGGTGATGAAGATTCCTGGCCAGCAGCAGCAGCAACAGACAACAATCAGCAGAGATGGGAAGAGTCTGAAAGAAGTAAACTTTACCCACCTATCTGAGAAGCATCGTTTCAACTACAGATGGACGCAACTGATGAGGATATCAAAGCGAGAATCAGGAAAGCAAGTCAAGCTTTCATTACTCTCAACAGCACTCAGCATAAAAATGAAAATAAGATCCGGATTTTCAACTCCAATATGAAGTCAGTGCTATTACGCGGATCACAGACTTGGCTCAGCACCACGTCACGAAGGGCACTTCGAACAAACCATAGACCTTCATCACTAGCTGTCTTCGGTCAATACTCAAGATCAGATGACCGGCCAGAAAAGATCAGCAACAGCGATCTTTGGCGACGAGCGAACCAATCCAGCAGGAATAAATTTTTGAACAAATATGCAGGAAGAAATGGAAGTGGATTGGCCATACTCTGAGAGAACCACCAAGTCACATCATACTCCAGGCTATCGCTGAGGTGGAAGACTGATGGGAAGCGGCGAGTTGGTCATCATTGCAAGGATGACATGGATGAGGTCACGCGAAGAGAAGATGAAAGCATGTGGGCAGACGTGGAGTCAGGTGAAAACGTTGGCGGAGAACCGAACGCAAAGGAGACGTTTGGTTGAAGCCGTATATTCCTCTAGGAACTAAAGGAGGCTATAATAATAGTAATTATTATTAGGTGTGTATGTATATGTGTGTCTTACAGCCGGATACTGAGTTAAAAGAACAACAGTTCGTAATGTATTAAGTTTGCAAGTACACCTAGTTTTCCATACTCACACTTTCTTAGATAGACTAGACGCATATAGGTCGTCTCTATTTTTTTCTTAGACCTAGCGGTGATATAAATCTCCATGTAGTTTCTATCTTTGCCGATCATAATACTACTGAAAACATTCGTATCGCCCCCATAAACGACCTTGGGCGTGTAGACTTCGGTCTTCCTCTCGGAATGCTCTCATGTTACCACGCTTTCATAGCCTTCACTATGTAAGTCCTATTCACTGTCTTCACGTGACGGGAGTGTTTATCAAAAACATCAATGTGTGAATTCGAACGTTGGGCACCTACAGCCAGAGTGGATGACGTGCAGGTCTAACTAGTAGAGTTGGAAAACCCTGTTTCTAAACCTATAGTGTGCATGAGCTACAGAATTCAAACGGATAGAATGGTGTATGAATCTGTTTTGTTCATCGGAAACTATAGGAAGCTTACTCCTCACTCTGCTGCACTTCCTTGTGGATCAGACTTTATGTCAAATGCTCGGCGGTGTCCTCTTACGACAACCACTTGCTTCGGTGTGGGCGTCCGGACAGTATTCCCACCCCTCGTCTGTCTGTCTGTCTGGATTCAACATAGAACTTGGCACCGAAGTGCAGCAGTTCGAGTTGCCCACCCCTCGTAAAAACTATGAGATTTCGTGTAGCGCATCTCTTCGCACCCATAATGTGGTGGCAAGTTTATGTTTCGGTCAATAATGAAGAGCTCACATCCGCCCTATTCACTTTCCAAACACAGTTTATTTTTGTTTTTATCATTTACAGGGAGCAAATAAAGCAAGTTCATTTTTCTACCTACAACTGAAAGGTGAAATAGAATCAGATTTAATATCACTTAATTTATTTTCCAAGTGTCTTGCAATCTATCGTCCGGGTACTTTGTTATGCTCTCGTGTTGAATCTCGTCCAGTTGAAAGAGTTTTCCAATTATTACTAAAACCTGTTGCATATATGGCACCTACATTACTGACAACCCCAGTTGATACTCTTGCACAAGCTATGGCTCGGGCACCATTTTCTGCAAAGTTGAACAGTGATAGCCCTACGCAAACAGAAAAGTCGTTACCGAAAAATATTCATATTTTAGAGAATCATGACATTTTTAGTCTTGCTAAAGATGATGGGTCAGCATAGTTTATTATGTTATATTTTAAATTATTGTACAATGTGATTTTACTAAACCTGCTAATATCAGCATTCTTGTGTAATCTATATATATATATATATATATATATATATATATATAATATTGAGCTATTTTCACTTTTCTGATTTTCTTTGACTATGTTCCGTTGTGTTGCTTCTAATATCTTTGTTTAATTAGGACTAATGAGTTGGTATAACCTATATTATTTTGGACAGTTATATGTATATATGCAACATTGATTTTTGCATTCGCTGAATTCTGAGTTGAACTCAGGGCTTCAGGCTTGGGATTATGATGTTGTTTTTACGGACAGGGGTTGTTAGCCTCACGTCCAACCTCCCCTTTTTTCGAACCTGGGACCACTTACGTGGACCATGATCATTCTGCACCAATGAACCACTGACGCATTAGTCTTCCTATATGTCCTCTCTTCGTTTAATCTTCCTTTTCTTTATTAGAACGTCATTTTATCTGTGATTAGTTTTTATATTTTTATGACTTTATGAAGTTATAATTTAAACTATTACAATTATGTACAATCTTATGCCTTGTTTTTTGTACAGTTACATTCGTTTGACTGTTTATCGGCGAGACTAGCATAATAAACTGTCCTTTGTTTACTCGCTCGAAAGTCCTTTATTTTTATCGCAAACCATTGTGGTGTGCGTATTTTTCTGTTATCATTTATTTCCAGCAACGTAATCAATTCTACAATAAGGCTTATCGTTCAAATTAGCTATGGGTACATTTATTCATTTCGAAACGAAACATATTACCGGATGACGATAAAGACTATCGCGTGGTGTTTACTCGCATAGTACAGCATATTACGTCACAGGAGATATTCCAACTGTGTAAAAAAGTTGATAATAATAATAATAACAACAGCTTTATTCCAAACAGTATTTGTGGTACAGGTATGGAATTTTCAGCGTGCATTACAGTATATTGCATCTAATTACCTCATAAATTATATAAGATTTTTAAAAATCAAAGATAAATATTTTTTTTTTTTTTTTTTTTTTTTTTTTTTTTTAAATAAATAAATATTAAAAATTAAGAAAAAAAAACAGCGTAGAGTATTTCATTTCAAACAATGCACCACAGGATTTGAAATATAAAGTTGATGTGTGGTACTAGATGAGAACAACAGTGTGATAGTAACGAGGAAAGGAAAACAAAAACTAATGGGACTATTTGTTAGAGTGCCGCAGTAAGTTTATCGTGTCATACCTAACGGATTTCTCATCACATAACAGCTGTGCCAGATATGGTATTGTGGAGTTTTTGTATTTGGTAGTCCTAGCATATAGCCTCCTATAGCTGCTTCTAGTTCTTCCAGATGAAATGCAAGGAGATAGATGCGTATAGAGAGGATGCTTGGGGTCCGACAATATTGTATTCGCTAGTTTCTTACATGACATAATATGTCTATCTACAATAGTGTTCACCAGTTGGTTTAACGATATCCCACTTGCCCTACTAACAGCTTTTAGTGCCCTTCTCAGCGAAGCAAAGTCTTTCTTAAGTAGTCCAGGAAAGACTAATGGGGAGCAGTAAAGGAGGATGGGTAGAATACAAGAATTTACAAACTGAGAAAGTAAAGACTGGTTTATGCCAGACTGCCTAAATTTCCTAATGTAGAACGTTAAGCGAAACATCTTTCTAGTAACTAGCAAGATGTGGGAAGACCAGGAAAGATCGGTGGAAAAACTCAGCCCAAGGTACTTGACATAAGATGTATTTTCAACCTCTGTGCCGTCAATGAGAGTGGGGCCATGTGAGCTAACTAGTTGCTGTAGGTCACATTTACGTCTGAAAGTGAAATTGACTACCTGACATTTAGACGGATTAAGCTTAAGTCCGTTTGAAGAGGACCACTGACTAATTTCCGACAGAAAGCTATTTAATTTGGAACAATCTGACTGAGAGTTGACAGGCATAGAAACCGAGAGGTCATCGGCATATTTAACAAAAGTGGCTACATCAGAATGAGGCAAGTCATGTAAGAAAAACGAGAACAGAAAGGGAGAAAGAACAGCACCTTGAGGAACACCAGCTAAAGTAAGTGAGGTAGTGGAGGATTTTCCATTGTAGACGGTGTACTGCTTCCTTTCAGAAAAATAGGAATGCAACCACTTATTTGTCCAGCTTTCAGCCTGTGTTGCAGCAAGCTTACTTAGCAAGAGAGACCTGGGAACAGAGTCAAATGCAGATGTGTAATCAAGGAAGGCACAGCGAACGTATTTAGCTCCTTTATCTAAACTAGAGACTATGCTATGGTGGAGGACGACAGCGGCATCTAACGTACTCCTACTATGTTTATAAGCAAACTGGTTGGGGTCGTTGAAAGGTTTTAAAGAGGGATCAAGATTAAGTAAAATAAGTCTTTCCATAACTTTCAAAAAGGGTGAGGTAATTGAAATGGGTCTAAACTTAACATTAGGTCCACTTGTAGATTTAGGCACTGGAACGATCTTGATGTTTTTCCATGATTCAGGTATAATACTTTTGGAAAACGATTCGTTGAAAATGTCAGTTAGCGGGGAACACAAGATGTCGGCACACTCCTTAAGGATAACAGCAGGAACACCATCAGGACCGAGGGACTGAGTAGGCTTGAGAGATTGAAGACACTTGAGGACATCATATGTGTTTAAGCATGAGAAGCAGTCATTGTTTACACTATTTGAGTTAGGAATCATAACATTTGCTGGGATACATATGAAGGATTCATTTAGCATGTTAACATCTACAGAAATATCATTCAACATTTGCTTACCACCTGTGATTTCCTTTAATAACTTCCACATATTTGATGGGGATTTACATGAAAGAAACTTCTGGTTATAGAGAGCATTCAATCTTTGTAATTCAAGCTTAATCAAAGTGTTCATTCTCTTAACACCAGATTTGTTTTTCATTTTGAACAACCTTTCTTTTTCACGGCGGAGCTTTTTGAGTTGAGAAGAGGAGAAGCGATCGAATTTTAAGAAGATTGTCTCTTTTGGACAACAAACATCAAGACAGAAATTAAGATAATGTGTTATGTTGGCAATTGTGTTATCAAGAGCTTGTTCAGTAAATAGATCCCAGTTTGTGTCTTTTAACATGGACCTTAGGTTCAGTATGTTGTCATGGGAATAACATCTGTGTTGTGTTTTCTTTCCAAGGTATGAGAAGACCCTTTTGTGCTGCTTTCCATATACTTTGGGCAATATTCTTATGATACAGTGATCTGAATTTAGTAGTGGGGCTCTTTTTCGAGCTTCAAATATTCCTGCATCGTTTGTAAAAACAAGGTCAAGAGTGTTGTCCATTCTAGTCGGGAAGTTGACAATATTATCGTGTCCCAGTGAAATTAGGAAGCTGTGGTCACTAGAATTAAAATCACCAGTAACTATAGACAAGGAATTTCCGAAGGAGGTGGCAGCAAGGGAAGTAAATTCATCCGCAAATAAAGATAATTCTGTGGAGTTGCATCCAGGAGCAATATACATGTTCGAGATGTAAATGTAGTTGTATTTAGACAAATGTCTAGGTCGACACTTAACGGTGAGACAGTCAATATTGTCACTAGAGAATTTGAAACATACATTATTAGACGTACACCATTGTGAATTGATGAAGATGGCGACACCGCCACCGCGTTTCTTCCTGGAACTACACCGATCTTGTCTGAATAGTTTGAAATTATTTAGATACACTAGATTGTCATCATATAGATCATGAAGCCATGTTTCTTGAAGTGATATGATCCCAGTATTATGATATATAATGGAAGACACCAGCGATTGAAGACAGTTAATTTTAGCCGGCAGGGAGCGACAATTGGTACTCATAATTGCGGGAACAGTCATGAATTGAATAGGGGTATTTTTTAATGCTCTCTGCCAGCCGGCATGATGCTTTTTCTTGTCTTTTTTATGGAGTTGCAGATCAGTAGGTTTTAGAGATATTAGATATTCACGAGAATAAATAATCCGATTTGAGGTCATATTTGAATAAGATTTATTGATTAAAATATCAATTAGAAATGAGAAATTAGATGCAATATGATTTGTAATGTTTAAGGTAACTGGTAGCCCAAGATTTAAGCAGGCCGCCAATGCCTTTAAAACGACCGAACGTAATATCTGATGTAATTGTACTTTTCCTCTAAGCACATAGTACAATGACCGTCTATCTGAGGAAATTCAAACCGTAATTGTCCACCTCCGTTCTACCTATTCAGGCATAATAAGGCAAAGACGCGGTAAATTTGTTTTGCGATAACTTACATCCTAGCTTCATGTTAGCTGGTTATCACAGTCTCCAAGTGTATGACTAGATCTATAATTGGGTTGGTTTAGACTTGGCTTTCAATCCGTGCGTTCTGCGACTAACCTCCACTTCCTTGAAATTTACATAGTCAAGTAGTGTTATGGTGTGTACTGCGGGTAAGATTTATAAGTAGTATATCGATGCAGGTCGATATAAAGTGGCTAAAATTGAAATCATTTTAAGGCAATGGCTGCAGAGGTAGAAGTGTTTATATTTCAATTATGGGTCTAGTTTACCTTGTGAACGTGGAGTAATCTCATTGGACAACCTTTCGTCTCATTGTTTAACCTTGGGATAATTGTCAACCAATCAGAAGATCGTGTTTTTCGCAGATTTAGTCGACTTTTAATATGGTTAAAAATGTATATATATATATGACGGCTACAGTATAATTAATCTTTGTGGAATAGGTGAGTCTCAAGGACAAGCATATGATTCCAGAGTATCATTTCACTTTTATTCCCTATGTATAAAATGAACCAGCAAAGTAGTTCTTAAGAAAAGTAGGAAATGCAGGTGCATGCCAATCATATCAACGAATAGTGCTAACCAGTCAGCTGGGTCGAAGTGATCCAAACCCTCTTTCACTTGTTGGCGTTCGAGCTTATCGACGATGTACTTGGTCTGACCCAGGTCAGACAATATGTGTACTAAATATTTCCCCTTTCCAAAAGAAACTGGTGAAATTTCGTCTTTTATTCTGTAAACTGCGAATTGCGAATTCAATTTGAAGTAGATAGGCTTTTAACTCAGCTGTGTGTGTG